TGCACAAGGCATTGGACATGAACAGGCTGCAAGGAAATATGTTAGCTAAATTTAGGGACCAGACATCCCATTACACTTTCTCTCCTTTAGGCTTTTCTGTTGGTGCCATGGTACTGCAAACCTACTACAGCTGGCCAGTGTGCTATGGCTTAAACTATCCCTTAAGTGGAAAGCATTTTTTTGACAGCCCATGTTTTTAAGATGAAATCATTATTAGTTGCATTTTCGATGTAATATGGGAGGAGGTCTTCTGTTATTTTTTGAGTTATTATTGCAACTAGAAAAATTGAATACAAATGAAGATACATATTAGGAGGAAGAGACTAAAAAAGTCAGACCAAGTGTGAGCCTTGTTGCTGATTTCTGCTCTTGAATTATTCCTTATTCTGTTATTTTGCTTGAGCCCAGTGTAAACAATCCCACTGAAGTTTGTGCCTAGGAATGAGTGTGGGAAAATTCAGCATGCAAAAACATGAGGTGCTTCCCTTGCAGGGAGGGATTTTAAGGTGCTTTCCTAAACCAGGACTGAGATGATGATAGGGGAGAAAAAAACACATAATGTGGAGTCTGTCAACGTCTAATTCAGTGTTACCATCTATCTATCTATCTATCTATCTATCTATCTATCTATCTATCTATCTATCTATCTATCTATTTGAATATTTGTTGTGATTTTCTGATGGAAATGTGGGTTTATCAGAGATAAGCTGAGATTTGCTGGATCTATAGCAGAAAGTCAGTGATGTCTATTTGTTTCATCCCACAGCATTTGTTTCTGTTTTTAAAAATTCCTGTAGTTTTGTAATGACAATACTTCAGATTGGAAAAAAAGAAAGGTGAAAACCAACCATAATACTTGATTGTGAAGTAAAACATTGTATGTTTCATGTAGGACAACTGGTAACAGTGCTGAAAACAGAAATGTGTATCCATTAATTGGTCCAGATGACATGCATCTTTGAGAATAAGGTAGTTCATTACAACATGTAAGGGTTCAGTGACAGTTGTTTATGAAAGTTAATGGAAATATGAGAGAAAGAGAGAAAGCAAACAGGACATATCTTCAGAAAAAGAAAAAAATAAAAGAAGAAAAGAATCAGAATCACTGTCAATTACAATTCAGTAAACCCACTTTTAAAGCATCGCAAAATAATGAAATGATCATTAAAGCTCCACATCTACCTGGGGTTTAATGGACTAATAAGCAACAAACAATGCAGACACCATGGTGCCAGGGTGGTATGTGTGACAAATCCTCCTGAAGTAAATTGATTGGGAACTCAAAATCCTGGGTGAACAGATTCAAATAATACAACTTGAAACAGAGATTTTTTTTTTTTTTTTTTTTTTTTGGAAGAAAGTGTTCTGGAAACCTCTCTAAGGTTACAATTTGGTCCTGTTACAGGTTTCCCAGTGTAAAACACCACACTGAATTTCAAGGCCTCAAGGCTGTCTGCCTATGCAAGTAAAAAATATCTGAATGCCGGGGTGATGGATACGGAAAAAAATAGGAGTAGATTATAGAGTCTTACAAAATGATAGAGCAGCACAACAAATCAATGTGCTTTGGGGTTGCTGGTGAAGGTAAGTTATATCCTCCAACTGCACAAAATAACTGCTCTTTATGTAATCACACCTGGGATATGTCATTAAATTGCAATACCTCATTACTCGTCCTCAAAAAACACGGAAGAATTTCAGGGAATTCAGATCTGAAAAAGAAAAATGATCAGACTCTTGGAAAGAGTGATACACAAGGAGAGATTAAGTAGCTTAAATATATAGCTTATCTAATCAATAATAAAACAGGGGAAAGATAATGGCTTAAAATATGTAAGAGAAAGATAATTATTTTGCAAGATGCATGGTCCCAATTCAGCACAGTGCTAAAACATGTGCAGATCCATCATCCCTGCAAAACACCAGTGTCCATGATTTCAGTGGAGCTTCAGCATATACCTAAATTTAAGCACGCATTGAAGTACTTTGATTAATTTGGGCCATAACCAGAAGTAATAGTATGAAATTAAGAAATGCAAAAATGTAAGCTGAACAGCAGGAAAATCTTCCAAATGGTGAGATATAGGAGACTGGGGAGTAATCACTCAAGGGAATTAGTGGAAACCTTATCCCTGGACACATTTCAAGTTTTGCTGGACAAAGTACTGGGAAAATATTCTTTGGGGAACAATCTTGCTGTTGCCTCTGGAGACAACTGCACAACCTACTGCAACTATTCTGTGTCTAAGTTTTTCTGGGCTGACTCACAGCATTAAGCCTGAGACATGATTTTAAAAAGCACCAACAGCACAACAGGCTGGTGGCATTTTGAAGCACTTCCTCGCCTCCCCCCACAATTTATCAGGCTTTTTCCATCTTCATTATATGCAATGCTATGAGAGGGGAAAAAAAACACACCACCACACTTTAGCTTAGTGTTTTTTTTTTTTCTTTTCTTTGCTTGTTGACCGAACATTGATTTAATTTTCATCTCTGCATTAAAACAGAGCTTAAAGATATAGAGGAAATCTAATTTCAACTTGTAGGGCTTTGTTTCATTCCCAGAGCATGTGTGGTGAATGGTGAATATCATCAGAGAGGTAACTGTATCTTGAAGAATCTCATATCTCTAAGCATCCCAGCAGAAGCAGTATTAAAGATTAGAGGGTTTTGCTAGTTTAATTTGGGTTTTTTTTTGGGGGGTGGGATTAGTTCATTGGTTTTGTGGAGTTTTTTGGTTGTTGTTTTCCTTGTTTGTTTTGTTTTTTGTTTTTCTCCTCCATGCAGACCCTGAAAGAAAGGCTGTTACACAAAGGACTTTCCCAAAGATGAAGCAGTAGATTCTCCAAGGGCTTTTTCCACTGGGTATAATAATTTTGGTGAGTCAAATGCAAGGTCCAAAGAACAATGGCTTTTAAAATGCTTTGAAATCTTCTTTTTCTCAAGTCAAGACTGAGCATAATTCATTTGGACATGTGGGGCTGTTCTGCAGCCATGTAGGAAAAGGACAGGTGTCCTCTAACAGGACTTTGCAGAGATCTACTGGAAATGGAAATGGTTGAGAAAGACCTGTTAAAAATGGTAGATTTCTCTTCCTTGACCACAGTCGATTTTTTTCTTTCTTTATTTTTGCAGTGTCAGTGAATGGGTCCTGATTTTATTATTGGGAAAACAGCACTTATGTTTATTAGTACTAATTTTCTACTGCACATCAATGCATCCAGAATAGCAGTTCTTAACCTTAAATACACATTTCTGTGCCTAAATAGCAATTCAGCTAGGAACCTGTGTGAGCATCTTCCTGATTCATGGTCTGAGTTAACAAACAAGGTTACTTAATTCCTTTATCCCATTTAAAAGAATGGCCTTGCAAGGTCTCCATCATCAAGGATACTTAGGAGCTTGTTACGGAAAAAGCTGAGCAGGATAATTAACTGAGTGGATTTTCCATTGGGTTGGATCATTTGGGCCTTTCCAGCTCCCTTGGCTACAGTCAAAGCAGGGAGTGCAGTAGCAAGTCCCCAGGTGCGTCTGGTCACTGGGATAAAGCATGGTGTGTTGCATTTGTCAGCACTCCGGTAATTAGAAAACTATGATTTTCTGAAATCTACTTTTTTGTTTGTTTTGTTGTTTAAAGAGCTTCATTTGTTTAGGACGTTCCCTCACAAACCAAAACAAACAAACAATTTGGTTTATGAGGGAAGTGTTAGCATGTTCCAGCCAAGCACCATAATTTCCAGAGGTCCCATGCAAGCATTTAAGATTGCACATGTTAACGCAAAGGCAGGCTTCTTTTCCTCTTTCCTGGAGGTTCCTGACTCTCAGGAGACGAGGGGGTTCATGTTTCCCACCTGCTTGGGGTGCCAGGGCAAGGATAAAGTGTGTCTTCGTGCCCCAGCTGATGCCAGGCTGCCCAGAGCCCCATCCCTGTGCTGGGCAGCAGGGAGACCATCCTTGATCAGGAGGTGGGGTCTGATGGGCTGCTTGGTTGCCGACAACAGGCTGAGAGGCCAATCGTGAGCTGGGGAATCTAGCGGGGAATGGGTCTGTGCTGAAAATACAGGCTGCAATTGGCTTTCTGGGAGTGGGCAGAGCAACCACACAGGCGACGGATCGGTGCCGCAAAGGCAGGCTGCAATTGGCTGCTTGGATGGGGACAAAATTCCAAGCTGCCAATCGGGACATGGGGGATCCAGTGTGGAGTGGGGTCTGTGCCCTGTATGGAGGCTGCGATTGGCTACCTGGCAGGGGAGCCACGGGCAGGGCGTCCAACCGGGCGGTGCGGGATCCTTTCGGGAGGGGCAGCGGGACAGGTGCTGGCGGGCGGGGGGCTGGGGCGAAGGGGCGGCTGCGGGGCAGTGCGGCCGCGGCGATGCGGTGCGACGCGGTGCCGGCCGGCTGCTAGGTGGAGCCCGCGTAACCCAGATCCGGGCCCTCGGCGCTCCCCCGCCCCTCGGCTCGCCGCCCGCCCGGCTCTGTGCGGCCGCCGCCGGGCAGGGCAGCAGCGCCGCGCCGCCCGCCGCCGCCTCCTCCCCGGGCCCCGTTCCCCGCTCCCTGCCCGGCCCTGCGGGGGACGTGGGTGCCGCGGGTGCCGCCGGTCCGGAGCGCGCTGCCCGTGTGCGGAGCGTGTGCCCTGTGCCGAGCCGAGCCGTGCCGAACCAGGCGGGGCGGCCATGCGGCCCCCCCGCGCCCGCTGAGCACCGCGCGGGGCGCGCCTGCGGAGCCGCCCCCTCCGCGCCCGCGGAGCCGCCCCCTCCGCCCGCCCGCGCCCAGCCGCGCCGCGCCGGTGCTGCCGGTCTCCGCAGCGGGAGGAGGAGGAAGGATCCAGGGTATCTGCGGAGCGCGGGGGGCTGAGGACCACCCGCCTCCCTCTGCGCGGGCGCCTTTGTGTCCCCAGCCCCGGCGGAGCGAGGGGCCGCGGGCAGGGGAGCGGATGCAAAGAGCGCCTGGTGCTGGAGGGGAGAGAGAGAGAGAGAGAGAAAGGGGGAAAGGGGGATGGTGGAAGATTTCTCTCCTTTTTTTTTTTTTTTTTTTTTTTTTTTTTTTTTGGTGGTCTCTTTGGCAGCGGCTGTTCTTCCCTAGCAGCAGCGGCGGCAGCAGCAGCAGAGGCAATGACTCTGCCGCATCCGAATCGCCTGGCCGGTGGCGCCGGCTCCGGAGACTTCACCTTGCTCTGAAGTTGCCGACCTGGATGAGGTAAATCGGAGCTGGGCTTTCGTCCCGAGGGGTCGTCAACGGCGGGGAAGAGGAGGGAGCGATCGCCTCCCCCATACCCACGCACTCTCGTCCTCCGGGAGGCAGCTTGTGTAGCAGAAGAACACGGCAGAAAAGGAAAGACTTTTACTTCTTTTTATTTTTTATTTTTTATTTTTTTAATTTTTCCTTGCTTGAGGGACGTCCGTGCTTCTCGTCCGACCCCCTTTTCCTCCTGGCTGGGGGCTTTGGTACTGTGGCCAGGTCAGCTTCCTACTCCCACCCCTGGTTTTAATGGCTGGATTGTGGCAGCAGCTCCCTGCTGCAGGTTGTTGAAGATCTGATGGGGACTCGCATCTCAGGAGCCGGAGATGACTAGAGGTAACTAAACAGCGGATGGATGCTCAGCAGCCCTTGCCTGGCCCTCGGCTGCTGCCTTGCCCGCTTCCGTTGGGCTGAAGGGTGCCGGCCGCCCTGGGCGCCCGCTTGGATTGAATTGTGCTATAATAAGGGTAGTTTGTCTTCAGGGAGGCTGGATCCTCCAGGTAACGGGGGAGCATTTCTCTGGGTCTGCATGCTGGGCGACGTGGAGACATCGGGTGTGCATCCTGTTTGGAAATGCCTTGTAGGCTCCAGCCTGGTTTGGCTGTGGGCAGCTAGGGTGGCAAAGGCAGTGAGGAGATGGAGGGGACCTGGTAGGTTTTGTTCTTGCTCTCCCTTGGTTTTTTTCTGTGAAAGGCACCACGTTGGACCGGGGGCTTTGCTGGTGTTACACTGAGGAATTCGTGAGTTTCATTATGTTTCCTCAATCTCCCCCCCTTCCCCCGTCTTCATGCCGACTCCTTCGTGGATCTGCGTTGCTGTTTAATAGCTGAATGGTTCCTCGATAAGCGATTGCTTTCTTGGATATCAGGGGTCATGAGTGGGGGGATGTTGCCGAATTGGAGGTGTGTGTTGGGGGCCGCCTGGAGTGGAGGTGAGGGGGTAGGGTAGAGGTCTGGATCCAGCAGCCCCGGGTTACAGGTAGACGCGAGGAGCTTCGCCTTCCCGTGCAGCCGGGGAGTGAAACGTTCAGTGCAGGTAGGGATGTGCAGAGCTCCCCACCTCCTGCCCGTGAGCCTGCGTTTGCTGGCTCTTGTCAGTATAAGACTGGCGTTTGTTTTGAGTATGGGCCGATATGTAGAGCCGGAATTGTATTTTTAATGCCTATTTCCTTTTTACCCTTTGTTTATTTGCTCCCTTAATTGTTTATTCGTGTTTCCCTTACAATCATCTTTTGACCGCGTAACTTGGAAGTACCGGTTGTAAGGCTGATGGCAGGGAGGAACGATCAGCTAGAGAGCAACCCTGCTTCCCAGTTTTAAGGAGCCTACCTCCAGCTGGTGCCCGTTAGTGCTAATGAAGATGTAGCTACACTACCCCAGAGATGTGCCCTGGGTATTTGGGGGCTTGCCTTCAAGGACTGAGTTTGATCAGCAGCCTTGCATCCAGAGTTGTCCAGGGAAGTAACACTGACCTCCAATACATTTAGTTGGGCTTTTTTCCTTACGCTTTCCCCTACAGACAGGCAGATGTGTAGTTTTGTTTGAGGGGTGGCGAGGTAGGAAAGGAGGCTCTCTTTCTCTCCCTTTCCTAATAGGCATGAGTTTCTTCTTTGCAGTAGTTAAAACAACTCGTATTTTGGCTATCAGCAGTGTATTGTTTCTGCTTGTCAGCTGTGGAGTTCATTACCGTTTTAGCGAAAACAACCCTTGTCTGTTTTATTTACTTTCCTGTTTAGGTCACTCCTTAGGAGTTACTGCCATTTCCACTCACAGTTCTGGTTCCAGGCAGCCAGCTGCTTAGAGGGAGGCTGAGATGCAAGGGAAAAGGCAAAAATGCCATCTGTTTCTTGATATAAGGCAGAGAGATAGTCTGTCGGCTGCAATTTCTCTCTGTATTATAGCACTAATTATTTCATAGTGTAGGATCAAAATTTTCAAAGCTGACCAACAAGAAATCTTCCCTGGAGTTGAAAAGAAATAAATTCCATTTTCATTGTGGAATGCTGCCTCTTAAAGGCACAGCCAATGCTGCCTGCTTGGTATTGAGTAGTAGCATGTGCTTTGTAAAGCTCATTTATCATCATTTCCAGGGGTTTGCAATACGAACAGGCTTCTACTGTGCATTCATTAGGGAGAATTCTTCCCTGGAGCTTTTCATGGGAGTAAACCAGGTGTTACGGGTTAAAATGGGCTGCTGTCAAAAAGTCTGCAGTTTTCACTTCAGATCCATGCCAGTGTTGGGTGACAAAGTTCAGGTTAGGGCTCCATTGTAAAGCTGTATATTTTTCCTAAAGATTAAACTGCTCTGAGAGAACAGGAGTCAGTCCCCCTTGTTATGGTCGAGGCTGCTCCAGTTCCTGCTCTTTAAGAGTACCTTTTCCTTGTTAAGGCTTGATTTACTATAAAGTGACTGCTGTCTTGTTACCCGCTACCAAAAAATAAAGCGGACACAAATCTCTGGTGTGTTTATTTCCAAAGGGACTGAAGTTTCTATAAAGCTAGTCTTCACCTCTGAGTTCCATACAATTTCTATTATTGAATAAGTATGTATTTTCCCTTTTCTTCTTGGGGTGGTTAGGAAAAGGTATGTTTAGTTTTGCATTGAATTCCAGAACAAGATAAATGACAGTGTTGATTGATGATAGCGAAAACATTGAGTGCTTTGTGGGGCAGTGAGATTTTAACAGTATTTTTTAACTTGAGGCTACCGAGTCCTCATGGACATGGTTTTTTGTGACAAAAGCGGGAGCCGGTGTTTCAGTTTCTTTATGCCCTCCGGAGATGAAGTAGTTTATGTCTCAGCCTAGAATACTTGAATTTGTCCCTGAGCTCTGCTGTGTCCATCCCTGAACCCCCCTCCTTTGTTTGCTTGGCTGTGCATCGCACAGGTTGGGATGCCATGGGGACCGCGTCCTCCTCCCCATTTGGAGTCATGTGGCAGAGGTGCTCAGCTTGCCTATCCAAGCACTGGTTGCAGGAAAGGCTTTTTTCCTCCTGAAACAGAAAGCAAATTGCCCTCTGCCTGCTGGTGCAAACATGAAGCTGGTGCTTTTTGCTGGCAGGGAGGGAAGTGCAAGCAGGTTTGTAGGTGAAAATGCAGGCATGCACATTCAGCCAGCTGACTGATGAGCATTAAATAAATAAAATAAATAGATAAAAAAAATAAATAGATATTTAGAGGCAGGTAGAGCAAAAGATCAGCCAGGACTGAATAGGAATATGCATGACCTTTAGCTTTGGGCAGCGCTCAGCTGGAGAGCCTGATGCTGCTTGTCCGGGTTTTCACATTCAGAGCAGGAGTGGATGCATCATCAACACATTTATTCATGCACACGGGGGAGGGAAGTCTTTGTAAATGAAGAAGTCCTAGGAATGGGTGATTTATTAATAATTTTAATACTAATAGTGTTAGGACTGGTGTAGATTGTCTAGGAAACAATTTAATGTGTGACACAGTATAAAGGATGGGTTAAAGATTGATGAAAGAGATGCAATTAAGGGAGCAAGAATGGATCAAGGAAAAGCTAAAGCATGGAGGACAGGCATAAGGATTTCTGTGCTTTAAGTAAGTTCCTTTTTTTTTCTGTTGTAATTATATTAGTTGGTGGTTGTGGAAACAGCCAAATGCTGCGATTGGAGTGATTTTGATATAAATTTTTATTTCCTAGAGACTTCTTGTACATCACAGGAGGTTTGTAAGAATAACCCAAAAATTAATTTTTTTTTGGAGTGGTGATCATCTGAGAGATAGATAGCACAATCTTGATGGGTTGCTGAAGACAATACTGAAACATTAGGACAGACTTGCAAAATAAAGAAGGTTTTGTCTTCGCCTTCTGATGGGCTGCTTACTGGGGGAGGATGTACTGGTGAGCATCGACATTCTGGAGAGATGTTTATGGACACCCATTTCTTCCCTGCTGGTCCTTTTCTCATCCTAGCCCTCCTGCTGGGATAGGAATATGAAAAATGCACCATGATGTGAAATTCTGAGTGTATATCCACACTTCAGTCTCTGCTATGTCTTCAGGCAGTGCTTTCAGTTGCAGAATGGAGAGCTAGAAATTGTCATTTGCCGGAGTTCAGTATGCACCGGTGTGTTTGTAGGAGTGTACCTGTCCCAGTAAGGGGGTGTGACATGCTGGCCTCTGACTGCCTCATCTCCTGGGGTCATGTCTGCCTTGCCAAATGTTTGTTGTGATCCTCACCAGCACTTCATGTGAGGCTCTTTAATCCCTGCTTGGGATGCATGTTAGTATGTCCTGTTTCTGTAGGTGTTGAGATGCTCCAGCACTCTCTGATCTCATCCTATTGCCTAGTGGCAGTGGAAGCTCCCAGGGCAGGCTGATGAAGTAGAAGGAGAACTTTGCTTTTAAGCATCTACTTTTAAATCTTGCCTACTTTAATGGCAAGGAAACCACCTTCTACTCTAATCTGTGATGTGATTATATCTAGGACGTTATCTCATTGCCTGTTTTTGGCCTCCAGGTTTGCAGCGTAATACTTGCTTTATGTTCCTCACTAGATAATCTCTACAGTGCAGTCTGAAATTCCTGGCTGCAAGCTAAGTGTTCATTTTTAAGACAACTTCTCTAAAGACACCTTGGCACTACAGCTTTTACTTCTGCAGTCTTTTCAGAGAGCCTTCTGATTTTGCCTATAAGGCAGATGCTTTTACCAGTCATTGCACCAAGCATCTGTAACTATAGAAAGGTAACTAGTCTTTTCAGACAGTGGAAACATTATTTTAATAGTGTTGTGGACCACAGTATTACTTACTAAGTGGTGCTCAGTGCAGGATTTTTTCAGCCTGCCTGAAATCTGTGTTTTCCTCTGGCTGAGTCTTTTTTTCCCTCCCTTTTTGAACTTTTCATCTCTACTTCTTCAGGCCCACTCCCATCTGAGGGAGGTACTTCTGCATCTGTGATGGGAGCTCCCACTGTAGTCGGTGAAGCACTTCTGTTGGCTTTCCTGTGAAGGGAAGATGCTCAAGAGTTTCACATGTGGTGTCTTCTGAAGAGAAGCTCCAGAATCTCAGATGCGGTATCTTTTCAAAAGCATCCCCTGCTTCAGCATCAAGTTTCTAGCAATTGTTTTGTAACGTCTTTGCCAGAGGTGGCATTTCAGGCCAAACAAAGCAATGAACACAGAGGAAGAGTAGAAATCTGTGTACACTCCTAAAATGTGTTTGAGAAAACAGTCCAGAATTAAAATCAAGACACTTTTGTTTGAGGCTTGACAGCTTTGAGTTTCAAGGGTCATGAAATAGACACCATTCTGAAGAAAGCAAAGAGGAGTTTGGCAGCTATCCCAGTTAGGCAATATGAAGTTGTAGAT